AAAGGGAAAAAAAGCAGAAAACTAATTGTAAGACGCTGATTACATTAAATATAAATGATATAAGCACTCCAATAAAAGGCTTCCATTGTCAGATTGGATAAAAAAGCAAGACTCAGTTATGTGCTGTCTACAAGAAACCCACTTTAATTATAAAGGCAGAGATAGGTCAAATGTAAAAGAATGAACTGCTGCCAACCACCCTTGAGACCCAAATTCTCTGAGCTCAAGGGTAAAACACAAACATGCTCCTTTCCCACCAAAAAAATGTAAAAGGATTAAAAAAAAAACATATAACATGATGGAGCTAATTTTTAAAAGGCTAAGATGGTTATATTAATATCAAACACAAAAGATTTCAGTACAAGGATTGTTACCAGGGAAAAAGAGACATATCAGAATAATGAAGGAATCTATTCTGCAGGGGGGTACAATAATCCTAAACGTATATGTACTAAATGACAGAGCTCCAAAATGTATGAAGCAAAACTGATAAATGGAGACTTATATATCCCTTTGTCAGTAACTGACAGAAAATCAGTAAGGATATAGGAGAGATGTGACAAATACTATCAACTAACCTAATCTAGCTGCCATTTATAGAATACCCACTAACAGCAGAAACATTTTTATCAAATGCACAGAATGTTCACCAAGATAAACCATATTTTATCCCATAATTCAGACCTCTATCAATTTAAAAGTATTAAAATCATACAAAGTATATTCTTTGATCACAACAAAAATAAACCAGAAATCTGTAACATAAAGATAACTGGAACATCCTCAAATACTTGGAAATTAAGCAAAAATGTTCTTAAGAACCTAGAGGAAAATTTATAGCATTAAATGCTTATATTAGAAAAATATCAAATCATGCCCTGGCTGGTGTGGCTCAGTGGATTAAGCACCACTCTGTGAACCAAAGGGTCACCAGTTCTATTACCAGTCGGGGCACGTGCCTTGGTTGCAGGCCAGATCCCCAGTGGGGGGGGGGGGGTGCATGAGAGGCAAACACACATTGATGTTTCTTTCCCTTTCTTTCTCCCTCCCTCCTCTCCTCTAAAAATAAATAAAATCTTTTTTTTTAAGTTAAAAAAAAGAAAAATATCAAATCAATGGTCTAACCTTCTACCTTAAGAAACAATAAGACAACAAAGAACAAATTAAACCCTAAATAAGTGGAACACAGGAAATACTAAAGAATTGAAATCAACAACATAGTGAAAAATATAATAAAAGAAAAAATTCAATGACTCTAAAAACTAGTTCTTTGAGATCAATAAAAACAATAAACCTCTAACCATGCAGTTTAGGGGAAAAAGAGAAAAAAATACATATCACCAATATCAGGCATATAAGAGAAGACTTCTCTAGAGATCCCAGGCATTAAAGAAATAATAAAAAAAAATTATGAACAATTTTATGCCAATAAATTCAACAACATAGATGAAATGTGCAAATTCCTTGAAATACACAAACTACCAAAAAAGAAACAGGAAAGCCTGAATCGAGACAGAAACACCCCAGATCTATTAAAGGAATTTAATTCTTAATAAAAAAAAACCTTTTCCACAAAGAAAACTCTAGGCCTAGATGTCTTTGGTGGTGAATTCTATCAAACATTTGAAGAAAAATATTATTAATTCTACATAAAATTTTCATAGAACTGCAGATAAAAGAACAGTTTTCTACTTATTTTATATGAGGTCAGCTTTACCCTGATACCAAAAATAAAGATATTATGAGAAAAGAAATTTATAGACCAATATCTTTCATGAAGAGGGAAACAAAAATCTTTAACAAAACATTAGTAAGTTGAACTCAGCAATATATGAAACAATACATTAAGACTGAATGAAGTTTATCTTAGAAATAAAAGTTTGTTTTAACATTAAAAACAATCAATCAAAAAAATCAATGAATGTGATTTATCATATTAATAGACTAAAAAAAGAAAAGCCATAAGGTCATCTCAAAAGATGCAGAAAAAGCATTTGACAAAATTCAACATTGATTTATGATAAAATTTCTCAATAAGCTAGGAACAGAAGAGAACTTCCTCTACCTGCAAAAGGGGATCTCTGGAAAAACCTACAGCTAATACCATAATGGAGAAAGTCTTGCTTTCCTGCAAGACTGGGAACAAGGCAAGTACGTTCATTCTCCCTTCATCTATTCAATACTGTACCGAGTCTAGCCAGTGCAGTGAGGCAAGAAAAAGGAATAAGAGGCATCTGATTGGAAAGGAGGAAATAAAACTGTCTTTATTAAAAGAAACATGATTATATATGTATTATGTTGGTGCAAGGATAGACATAGAGATCAACAGACTAGAATGAGGAATCCAGAAATAAACCCACACATACATGGTTAACTGACATGCCGAGGTAATTCAATGGAGAAAGGCTAGTCTTCAACAAAAATGCTCTAGAATAATTGAACATCCACATGCAAAAAATGAACCTCAACCCTTACCTTTTACTATTTGTAAAAATTAATTTGAAATAGGTCATAGACCTAAATGAAGGAACTAAACCTATATAAATTCTAGAAAAAAACGTAGGAAAAACCTTTTGACCTTGGATTATGGTAAGACTTCTTAGAACAACAAATACAAAATCCATAAAAGAAAGAATTGATAAATTAGGTTTCATCAAGATTAAAAACTTCTGTTCTATGAAAGACATTGTTAAGAGAATGAAAAGACAAGTTATTGGACTGGAAAAAAATATTTGCAAATCACCTATCTGAAAAGGGGCTTCTATCCAGACTATATAAAGACGTCATCTGACAGTTCAATAAGAAGACAAAGAATCAATGAAAAGATGGCAACAGATTTGGATGGTTCCCAATGATAAAAGAATGTCAAAAAAATCACATGAAAATGATACTTAACATTATTATTCATTAGTAAAATGCAAGTTAAAATCACAGTGAACTATCACTCTAAACCTACTAGAATAGCTGAAACTAAAGAGGCTGACGGCTCAGATATAGGATCCCTGAAACTCTCATGCATGGCTGGTGGCAAAGCAAAATAGTGTAGCTGTTTTGGAAAAGTTGGGCAATTTCTTAAGTGGAGCATACATTCCATATACAAACGGGTATAGTGGCTTTATTTTAGTAGCTAAAAACTGGAATAGGCCCAAATGTCTTTTGACTGCCGAACAGATAAACAGACTGTTACATCCATACAAGGGAATACTATTCAGCAACAAAAAGGAACAAACAATTGATAGACACAGCATATGGATAAATCTTGCATTTTAATAAACGAAAGAGGTGGACTCAAATGGCTGCATACTGTATGACTCCATTCATATGATGTTCTGGAAACATTATAGGGACAGAAAACGGATCAGTATTTGTCAGAGACTGGGGGCTCAGGGCAAAGGAGCACAAGGAAACTTTTGGGGGTGATGACAGAAATGTTCTGTTGACTGTTGCAGTTATACAAAGGTATGCATTTATCAAAATCATACAACTACATTAAGAAGTAAATTTTACTGTGTAAATTAAATGTCAATAAACATTACTTTTTAAAAAGAAAAAAGTGATACATCCATACAGTTATATATTATGTAATCATTTAAAAAATAAGATGACTCCATAAATGTTGGTAATGGGACAATCTCTAACATATACTTGTTAGTAAAAAGCAAGATACAGTATGTTCCCATTTATGATAATGTTGACTATCTCTGGGGTAGGGGTCTAGAGTGGGAGAATATACCCTTTGTGCTGTTTGAGTCAATTAAAAAAAAATCCCATGCTTGTATTATTTTTAGTTAGAAAAAATAAAAGAAACTACATACAAATCAAGGAAAACTCACAGGTGTCTGGCCCAGGGGACTAAGTCATGCAGGCCTGAGAAAACACATGTAAGACTATGGAACACAGTGCTTACGTGCCAGACACTTAAGAGGTGCTCAGTGAAGAGCTAGGGTAAGCAAAATATTTGGAATCAATTAAGAGGCAAACCCTGGACAAAGAGACCTCTATCTGGACACCGGATATGCAGCCAGCTTTTTTACACAAGGAGCTGAGCTTGCACCGCTCAGTCAGAAAAAGAAAAGGGGCATAAAACCCGAATATCCTGGATTACATTTGGGCAAGTGTTTCTCAGCACCCCTGTGCAGGCACACTGAGTGCCCTAACCTTAGCCTTCTGAGCGACGGGGTGCAAGCCCTCTCCCCAGTGACCTGAGCCTAGGACCACTCCGGTAATCCAAGGGCTATATCCCAACTCCCAGAGGGTCCCGCACTGCCTCTCCTCAAGTCCCTCCAGGTCAGACACTCTCACAACTTTCTGAAGGAACAAAATGACCCTAGACGGTCTCATCCACACTCCAGGCTGAAGGCAAGACAATCTCAGCATGTCAGGCCCTTCTCCGTACTCAGTCTTCAGGAAAAAAAAAACCCGGAAGGGAAAGGTGTTAACCGAGGCCCCTCAACAGAATTTGGTAAAAGGAACTTCCAGGGTTTGACACAGCTTTTCTCAGCAAGCCTGATATCAAGACCAGGAATCCAGAAAGCAAAATGGACAAAAAGAGAAGAGGCCAAAACAGCCAGCCTCAGAGGCTCCTCTTTGGTCCCGGCTTATTTGGCTAGGCCTCTCCTAGCTTCCAAAGAAGTCTGGCTACCGATACTATGACTAGGAGCTTCTGTGCTGAACAGCCTTGACTGGCTGCCTCTGGATACCTGGCTCCCACAGGGCAACCACCTCTGTTCTACCTCCTCCCTCTCCTTCACAGGAACAAGCTGTGCTGGTAGGTGAACAGGGCTGTTAGGCACAGCAAGGCCATAGAGTGGGACGGGGGTGGGAACCAACTAAAAGCAAAGTCCTTTCCGGGTACCCACAGACTCAAGGGCGCAGAAGGGATGTTACAACGGAATCTTGTTCTCTCTGGAGCACACCGCTCACCATGGGGACAGGGTTTCTGGCTCCCGCGCCATGGGCCAGCAGGCTGTGCAGGCCATGGAAGAAAGAGGAGCACTCACCGGGGGAAGATGGCAGTCATCAGGGCGGAAGCATAGCCGGGCTTGCAAGCTCCCTCTGAAAAGTTTGCGTACTTGGTGGCTAACTCCGCAGGCCTGTGGGAAGAGAAGGAAAGTCACAGCTTGCCAGGCACTCAGCAGCCACTGGGTTATTAATTTATGAAGAGCTGTAGGCGTTTAAGCTCGGAATAGAGCTTCATTCCCCACAACCAGCACTTACATCCCTCTTCCACACCAAAGCTTCATGGGGGTGAAACCTGCCCCCCCAATCAAAAAACCCTAGAGGAATAGGTAGGTAAATAAGCAAAGCCTGTCAATGGAATTTGGTGAAAGGAACTCGCTGGGGGTGCATAGATTCTTTGCAGTAATGCTGATACCAAGGGAATCAGGAACTCCATCCAGGCTCCCAGACTGGGAGAGCGGAGCTTGTTGATCTAAAGAGAGAGCTGCTCAGGCTTTGATAAAGTTAGCAGCACTGCCCTCTCAACACACCTGTGTTCCTACATGTCCAGCTTCACCTGCCACGACTCTCTCCAGCCAGCAGGGACCACTCACAGTGCCCTGAATACAGATCATATGCATGTTAGGGCTATTACTGCAACCATCAGATGTTTAGCTGAGAATGCACTTGTGCTCTTCTATTCTCTGCCTAGAATGTTCTTCCTTCTCTTTCTCCACTTGGCTATGCCTACTAGTTTTTCAAAACTAAGCTCAGATGTCAACTTCGCTGGGAGTAATTTCCTGACCTCCAGACTGAGCTAAGGGCCTCCTCTGTCTTCCTACAGTCTGCCCCTTGCCACCCACATTACATGCTTACCCCATCGGCACTTGCTGTACTGTGCTGCAATTGTTGGTGGTATGTCGCCCTCTTTAAACTATAATTTCCCAAGCTCAGAGTCAAGATTTAACCCTGCACACCCAGTACCTCACACAGGAATGGGTAAACAGGAGACCCCTATAAATTTATAAAGGAATAAAATGATGCTGATAGTCTCACTATACTTGGACTGTAGCCGAGTCAACCTTAGGAACCCACAAGTTAGAGATAGCTGAATATATTCGAGAGGACTTGTGTCTTCTAGCCCTGGTTTTGTTACTGTGTGACTGGACAAGTCACCTCACATCTTTGGGCTTCAGTGTCTTTATGTGTCCGCTGTCGGGCTGGAGCAGTCTAGAGAAAACCACAGGGGAAGAACAGGACACATGCAGTGACCGCTGGGCTGCAGGCCCTGCGTGCCAGGGCACCTGCGGAAGTCCTGGCTGGCGGCCAGTTCCCAGTCCTGGCCTCCCCCGCCTCCACCCTTGGGCCCGCCGCCAAAACTCTGGTCACTCTGATGCCCCGCTGCTCCAATGTGCTGGGGCCCTGGGGCAGCTTTTCCCTCAGGGCTGCCTTCTTAGGAACTGGATGGGGTCGCATAAGGTGGTGGCGGCGGCGGTGTTGCGGGCTGGTGCTGGGGGTGCCAGCGCCTGTACTAGACAGTGACTTGGCCTGTCACATGCCATGTGTGGTTTACTCATGTGCCTCCAAGAGCCTAGCCTGGGGCCCTACACAGAGTACTTGCTTAGTGAATTTAGACAAACTCATCTGTATCCACATGCAATTTCCTCTAGAAATCTACTTTTTTTTTTTTAGCCTTCCCTACCAATAAAATTTAAAGCCTGAAATGCAAAAGCAAATCCTGAGGGAGAGGCCAGACTTGGGACTTTATTTGGTAGGCAAAAGAAAGTCAAAGGCTTAACAAGAGAATTTACATAACTATATTTTCTTATGTAAACAACTGCATTTCAGAAACAAACTATAAACTTCAGTTCAATTACTAAACTTACTGGAAGCTTTTGGACGAAGCACAGGGATTAAAACATTACAGATTTTTAAAATTACTCCTCTCAATAGCCATGTTAGTAGGTACTATTAATTATTAATTTCCATACAAGCTCAGAAAGATGAAGAGACTTGATCCAAGGTCATACAGCTAGTAAGTGGTAAATATTGGATTTGAACTTGTTTCTACCACCAGCGCAGGAGTTCTTAATATGGCACTACCACCAGCACGGCTCACAGCAAGTGCCATCACCGAGGGAAAGACAGAGCCCGGAGGGAGCGCACAAGTGGTCCGTGCAATTGGAGATGGGATAGAGAAGAGGGTCAAGGAGGGTGTATGTGAGCAGTGAGGCAACGAGGCCCTCACATCATATCCTCGCCTTCGGTCCCCCCCATCTGCTTGCCCACCTTGCACAGCGGGTTCCTGCAGTCTTTCTGAATTCCAGAAAGTTTCACAACGAAGACGAAAGATGAATGGCAGTTGCCTCTTTAACACAATGCATCAAAGAAATACATGTACGGTAAAAGGCAAACCTTTGGCCACTTCTTTCCTCTCTCATTTACACCGTCAGCTTTTGGCAAGGTGCTTCCAGAACAAGGGCTGCGGGACAGCCCAGGGGCCACGGGTTCAGGTAATCTAGAGTGGGGAAGAGGGCGCCCTGGCAAGCTGAGCACAGGGGAGCCAGAGCCCAGCAGGAAGGGCTCTTCCCACGGCAGGGCAGGGCAGTCACATTAAAAGATGAGCAGCTCTGAATCAACCCCCTCCCATTCAGACAGCAACAGTAACTTCAAAAACACAACAGCCCTGGGGACAATGGGCCGGTCAAGTTATTACCAAATTAAAATGCCTTAGACGTGGCCCCCTGACTATCCCTGCGAGAGAAGAATAGGGAGAGTGTTGGGGATTCTGAGTCATACAGTACGCTGGGACCTCTGGGGCAGTCAGCGGTCAAAACCACTGAGACTAAGAGTTGCCAACTCCCTCGGGCCAGAATAGTTAGTTTCTCTAAGGCACTCACACTCCAAATGCCAGGAGGCCCCCACAGATGTCTGTTCAAATCATTCAGTCCTTGTTTTTTCTCATACTCTGCAGCTGGCCTTTCATTTTGGGAGATTTAGCATTTCAACCAGTAAGAGCACCCATTGTCCTACAAACGTGACTACCAAGCCCCTGGGGTGAAGAGTGTGAACCACTGCACTCTCAAGAGGAAATCCAGATGGACAAGACTAGAGTCCAAAAGAAGGAACCAGACTTTCATTTCCCTGCTTCACTCGGAGGCACCAAGCTTAAGGAATCAGGCCAAGCAATGGGTTGTAAATGGGAAGAGTATAGGATCTGAAATCAAAAACGTTCTCAAGAGGACACTGGCAAGCTATGTGACCTTGGGCAAGTGATGGAAAATCTGATTCTCACTCAGTTCCCAGGGACTGTGAGAGGATGTGGTGAGAAAGCCCATTTGGAGGGGCTGGCTGTCCTCTTAAGCCCCACGAATGTACCATGAGAGATGAAGTGGCAGAGGCAGGCAGCCAGGTCACGGAGGTTTTGAACACTTGGCTCAAGTTTGGTCAGTCACAGGGGAGAGTCACTGAATGATTTAGAGTGGGAGAGTGCGTTGATTGACCATGCATTTTAAGGACCAGCATTTGGGAGGTGGGGAGCAGCACTGCAGGGGTCCCTGAGGCAGAAAAATAATCAGGAGAGAGTGTTGATGTCTCAGTTGCCAAGAGAAGGAAGCGGCTCGAGGACAGAGGGACCAACTGTGTCAGACACTGCCGGAGGCCTGGTGTGGCCCTACGACTGAGCGCTGGATTTGGTGACATGAAGGTTACTCCTGACCTTGAAAAGAGCTGTTTCACTGGAGGGGTTGGGGTTTGGGGGACAAAATGCTGATTTCATTGGGTTTAAGGGAAAACAGAATTGGAGTCACGGGATGTAAACTATTTTTAGGAGTTTTGCTATAAATGGAGACATAGAAATGGGGCAATAGATGGAGGGAAGAAACAAGGAAAGTATGGTTTTTGAGAATAGAAAATATTTTAGGATATTTATAAGCTTCTTAGAATAAGAGAAAAACTCATAATGTGGTAGCGGAGGGAGAGCAATAGGAGAAATGTCTTTGGGGGAGGGGAAAAGGATCTAATACAAAAGAAGGGTTGGTCTTAGCTCTTCTTCCCCTGCCCTGCACTGCCCTGTGACTAGCTATTCATCTTACAGTATTCAGTTTAAGGACTGCTTCCTTTAAGAGGCTTTTCATGATTACTTCCCTTCCAGAGTAGGACCAGCCCATTCCGCCGGTGGACCCCATTTTACCTACAGCTGACTTTCACTTTTAGCTTGCTTGCTTGTCTGCACACTCTCTTTCTCTTCCATCTTCTTCCTTTCCTTCCTCTCATTTATTCATTCACTTAACAAATACTTAGGGGCAACAGAGTCACTCTGCTTGGATTTGTATCCTGACTCTATCCCTTACTAGCTGTGCGACTTTGGGTATGTTATTTAATTGCTCTGTTCCTTAATTTCCATATCTTTAAAGCAGGGATTATACTAGTACTTACTTCATAAAATTGTTGAGAGGATTATGTTGAGAATAAAATGCTTAGTACAATGCCTGGCATATAGTTTCTTTCTCAATAAATGTTAACTGTGACAGTCTCATTGTCATGTGCCAAACATTAGCATAGGATTAGGGATCCAGTGATGACTAAGACAAAGTTATGGCCTAACACTTGTTACACTGAAGAGTAACTATGCATTTAAATATCTTTCTTTCCTAGACCATGAAAACTGAGCATAGTGCATAGCACAGAGCACCATGCATAGCACAGAATATATGAGGTCTGTCCAGAAGGTATCTAACCATGCGATACGAAAACTAGAGACCTTTATTGAAGAAGATACAAGATACGAGATATGTCACTGAACACAGGATAATAACACCTCAGTCCCCTTGAAAGTAGGCAACTTGGGACCTCACACAATTCTCCCAATCACCATCAGCTGCCCTGTTGTATTTTCCTGAATCTCATCTATGGTCTGAATTCTCTTCCCTTTCAAAGGTGATTTTAGTTTAGGGAAAAGCCAGAAGTCACAAGGTGCCCACATGTGGGCTGTAGAGGGGTGAGTCACCTGGGTGATTTGATGTTTCACCAAAAAGCTCTGCATAAGGTGTGATGCATGAGCAGGTGCATTGTCATGATGAAGCTGCCAATCACCAGCTGCCCATAGCTGCGGCCTTCTGAACCATCCAAATAGCTTCCACAGAGGAATGTTCAA